GGCTGCCCAGAGAGGAGCGGGGGGCGGGGGGGTGAGGGTCCCCCTCGGCACAGCCTGCGAGCAGACTGCGCTCCTGGGAGCAGGCCGGTTGGCAGGGGGTGCATGCACAATCCCGGATCCCAAGGAAAACTGGAAGTGAGATAATGACTTGACTGGGAAGCCGCTGCACTCCAGAAGTGCCTCCACCATCCTGTGCTGCGTTGTACAGCGGGAGGGGGTTGCTCCCAGGCTCTCACTGAAGTTGGATCCCATCTTCACCGCTTGCGTGGAAGGGGCTGGCTCACCCTTAGGCTCCCATACGTATGCACCTCAGGGCCTGTGTCCACTTTCAGGCCCCTCACAAGGACACTGAGGGGCTGGAGCGTGTCCAGAGAAGGGGACGGAGCTGGGGAAGGGTCTGGAGCACAAGTCCTGTGAGCAGTGGCTGGTTCAGCCTGGAGAAGAGGAGGCTCAGGGGAGAGCTGATGGCTCTCTACAGCTCCCTGACAGGAGGGTGCAGAGAGGGGAGGGTCGGTCTCTTCTCCCAAGTGACAGGACAAGAGGAAACGGCCTCAAGCTGTGCCAGGGGAGGTTTAGATGGGGTATCAGGGAAAATACCTCCACAGAAGGGGTTGGCAGGCACTGGAATGGGCTGCCCAGGGAGGTGGTGGAGTCGCCATCCCTGGAGGGATTTGAGAGGGGTGTGGACGAGGTGCTGAGGGAGCTGGTTTGGTGGTGGGCTTGGCAGAGCTGGGTTAACGGTTGGACCTGATGATTTTAAAGCTCTTTTCCAACCTAAAGATTCTGTGAAGTCTATGATACATAAAGTTGCCACTGTTAATCCGTTCTGGACTGATGTTATGTTGTGGCATGGGATGAGAAAACCTAATTCACGTTAGCACCGTGGCCGTTCAGACGATCCCGCTGTCTGAGGAGCAGAGATAACTCGGAACGTTTCTCTTGGCAGGTAGAAGAGAACAGGAGCTGTTTATTTTTCTTCTTGTTGTTCCTGAGGCTGTTCCCCATGACACCAAACTGGTTTCTGAATCTCTCAGCTCCCATTTTAAACATCCCTGTGTCCCAGTTCTTCTTCTCCGTTCTCATCGGTAAGGCCTAGGGAGACTGAGGGGGCAGCGTGACGTTGCCTCTCACCGTTGCCTCTCGCCGCCGAGCCTTGGGCAGCACGAAGGGCTGGGGGGGCAGAGCGCAGGGGCGTAGCTGTGACTCTGCCCCATTTAACTGTTTGCCTTCATGCAACCTTGGAGCGTTTTGCAAATACGTGTGTTACCAATGCAGGAAAGGTTCAAATCCCACCCCGATCTTTCCACACAGACCCCTGTGCCTCACCTTGGGCAAGGACATATTTATGTCAGTTTTACGTGGGAGGGATGCTAACAGGTTTTTTTTTCCCCCACCCACTCTGATTCTTTCAGGTCTTACACCGTATAATTTCATCTGTGTGCAGACAGGCGCCATGCTGTCACAAATCACCTCTTTGGATGCCATCTTCTCCTGGGACACGCTGCTCAAACTGCTGGCCATGGCCATGGCAGCGCTGATACCAGGGACCCTCATCAAGAAATACAGCAAGGAGCGCTTGAAGCTGGATGGCGACGAGCGGGCTCCGTTACTCAATGGCAAAAAGAGCTTGTGAAGGCTGAGGTGCCCCTGGGGAGGGGGGCTGCCTCGCAAAAGCCGCAGGTCTCTATTCCTGTTCTGCATGCTCTGTGTGCCACCACGGACAATTGCGGTTTTTAATCGTTCTTCTCGTCTAGGAGGAGGGGTGAAGGTTGTTTGTAATGAAGGTTTAACGGTGCGTGTGTGCACAGGGAGCGCTGTGCAGGGGCTTCATGAGCACTTCAGGTCGTCTGCCTGTTTGAGTTGGCCCGTGTCGCCGGTGTGCCTGAGGGTCTTGCCAGCCCGCTGCAAATGTGTCAGCGATGGGGAAAAAGGAGTATTGGGATCCCCTGAGGAAGACAAACAGAACCCCTGTCCTGACAAATCGGGACAGCTGCTGCCTGCTCTGCAGGCAGGGCAGGCTGGTGTTCTGCCCAGCCTCATCCCTGGTGACATCCCGTCACCAGGAGTCCGCAGCACACGGAGCTGCATTGAGCTGGCGTGGCCTTGGCTGTTTTTCACTGCCCCTCTGGTCGCCCAGCTCTAGCCAGCTCCTCCCCCTGCCCTCCCCAACCCATAAATAAGGATATTTAGCTTTTTTGGCCTCAGTGACAAGCCACGCTTCTGTGCTGTTAGGTGCAGCAGCACAAGGACCAAGCCGAGAAGGAGTGATGTTTCAGGCTCCTTGCATCTTCTGTAGGAGAGCTCTCCCCGACGCAGGAGACTCCTCTGTCACTCGGGTTAAGCACACCCTGCAGCAAAATCCCTTCAGGTCTGGGGGCCAGCTGCCTGTAGGTACCATTCGTGTGTCAGCACGCGCTCAGATTGCTGCCAGAGGTCTGTCAGTGGCTGCTCCTTCCCACAAAGACTAAAAGGCATAAAAAGGAATAGATGTGCCTGGCTGGCAGTGATTTGTCCTTAAAAAGCACCTTCAAACCTACATGTTTGCTCAGGTATAACCAGGAGGTTTCCAGATAAGCAGGTAAGCTCTGTCCCAGTTGTTGGAGAACAGTAGCCCCCCAGGGATGGTGGGATGCTCCTGGGTTTTTGGTATTTGCACCTCCTTGCTCCACTCTCCATGAGTTTGCTCTCCCCTCGGAGGATGGAGGAAGCTTTCTGGCATGGAAGGGGGCAGGGGGGACACCCCAGAGCACACAAGAAGCCGAGAGTGAATGCTTCATCTGTTTTAGCACCTTCCCCGCCTGCGGGGTTGGCACTGAGTGGGACAGCGAGGCTCCCAGGATGAGAAGCCAGGGGTGCAGATCCCACGCCGCAGCTCGCGTTGCCAAAACCGCCCGTTTGGCAAGAGCGAAGGAAAGGCTCGGGGACAGCTGTGTGCTTGGTTCGCTACGTATGCCTAACCGAGCCTCTGCCCTGCTGCTGGGAGTTGAGCGACGGGTAAGCACGGGCTGCTCGCTAACCCTGTGTTCGTTATGAAGAGGCTTCGTGATGTTATCCCGGAGTACGTGAGAAACCATTCCCAGATCACCAGACCAGCCTGAGGAGTGTTGAATTACACTGGCTTTTTATTCCATGCATTGTTTGCTTTGATAGTCATTCTTGTTTCCATCACTGTACACTGTTCAATACAAAAAAAATAAACTAAAATCAAGTTTGTATCAGGAACCCGCAGAGCAGGGAGGAGATGAACACGACTGGACAGGGCCAAGATGAGATGCTTACTGAACACCACAGTGGGGAAGGCAACGTTCAGCTCGGGGAGAAAGCCTAGGCTAGTGTTCAGGAGCTGTCAGGGGCCACGAGAAGGGGGTGGGGGTGCTGACCAGGGAGCCCGCTGCTGTCCGGCGCAGGCGGTGTTCCTGCCAGCGGGAAGCGGGGCGACCCGCCACCCGACCCGCAGCCTGCTGGGAGAGGGAGCGGCGGGGACCGCGGCACACGGACGCGTGGGGATGGTGTCTACGGGCCGTTCTTGGGTGGGTTTCGCGAGGGACAGTGCCTGTCTAACCCCCTGCGGAGCTGACGGCAGCCATCCGGGATGGCGGGGGGCTGCTGAGCCCCCCCACCTGCACACAGCCCAGGGCAGGAGGCTGGGATTACATCCCTGCGGCACAGGGTTACACCCCTAGGAAAGGGAGGGATGCATGGCAGGCAGCAGACGTGACCCTAACAGCGCGGAGCCCTGGGCGTGTGAAGAACGAGAGCTCAGCGTGGCAGCCGAGCGGGCAGCCGCAGGGCGTCGCCCCT